TATTCGGTTTAAATAATTATTGAACTCAACTAAAATTATTATTTTCTTATTAACTAATTTAGAGGATGATTCTATTATTGATTATAGCATTCTATTTTTGTATGTTTTGTAATAACTCAAAAACTACTGGACCGATTTTAATTCTTTCACTATTAATAAGCTACGTTACCTTTTTTAATTTCACGCTGGCGAAATATTATGTATTTACACATTTGAGTCGCCTTTAGTAAACATTTTTTTAAGAAATACTCAAAAACTACTGGATAGTATTAAATTTCAAAATATCGTGACCAAATATCATAAATGTTTTTAATTTTCATAAAAAATATACCAATCAAATTTATGAACTTCGCAATTTAGAAGTCAAAAACAAATACTGTTATATAAAATGGTCACAACATGCTACTAATTAAAACTATGAATGTACAAAAGTTTAACTACTTCAACTGACACAGTATTAATTAGACAGTTCAACTATTCTGTTAAAACTGTCAATATTGTGCGTGTAAATATTTGATTGCCGATATACTTGATGGCAGTAAAAAACATACAGACGAATTGAGTACCTCCTATTTTTGGGAAGTCAAAAATGAAAGAGATTTAGCCTGGAGGGAATGCGTGAACTTGATACTAGCTACAGAATTTTAATGACAATTTTTAAAATTGATACTTCGTGACGGTGATGTATAAATTAGTCTTGGGTAGTACACGTACTATGTACTAAAAAGTAATGTTACTCGGCACTGTACTAAAGGTAACGTTGTCGAACGGCTTCTGTTAATCGGACATTTAGTACTTTTAGTACACTACACGATATCGGTGTTCGCCTCTTCGTTGTTTGATTTGATTGAATATTAGCCAGATTGAAGCATCCACCTTCGGTAATGAGAATCAAAAGTGGAAAAAAATATTCGTAACTAAATTTATTTTCACTAATAACATATGTTTGACCCTGCTTAAAATTTGATGTGAAGTAATATATAACCCTCGTCATATTCTATTCATGTATTGTGTTTCTACAAATCTGAAGTACTAAAGGTACTAATAGTGTGTACTAGTACGTTTTCCCAATTGTACTAGTACGGTGCGCACTTGCAGATGTCCGATTAAGCCGAAGACTACTATAAATTAGTCGATGCTATTAAAATTACGGCAGGCGCTCGCGCGAACATTGCGTCTACAATAGCGGAGCTCACGGTACCTCCATTATCAAGTAAATTTAACCGATTTGAGCTATTCGATCATAAGATTTCTTTTATTTTTGCAAAATATACTTAGTTGTGAATAAAATTATAATCAAGTAAGATGTAACATGAACTAATGTTTATTATTTATTCCAGAAACACAATAAAATTGAATCTGTACCGTCACTTCACCAACACGCTGATATTCGCGGTGATATCATCGGTAGTGTTCATGCTGTACTCGCTCAAGTCCTACAAGATACAGCTCTGCATTACTGTGAGTAAGATTTACTGTTTTAAAACACTTTAAAATGATTTGGAAATGTTTTAAACTTTTGTTTTATCTTTTGTATGAAACGGAATGTACAATCGGGGAATCTGTCGGTGTTCAACTTTAAAATCTACAGTTTAAACTCTTAATATTGTACAAATATTTCCTACTTGACGTAATGGTTTTTTTGATCTGTATTGGTAACTATAATTAGTGTCAACCTCAAGAAATATTCCCCTTTATTTTCAGAAATGTTAAACTACTTACTTAAAAACCATCACCAGTTTACAATTATCTAAAACACATTGTTGACTAGCTTTCACCCGCGGCACCGTCCTAGCGGAGTTAAAAATTTCTTCATCCAAATTTCATAGACATTCGATGTGGCGTGTACGCTGTAAACTCTAACAAGCATCCATGATAGTTTGGATGTTTGTTAGAGTTTGTAAATGAAGAACATAGTCTGAAAAGCATACTATGTTATAACTTTCGGGTTAATTAATACCATATTAGTAAGAAGAAGGTAAAGTAATTGGGTGATGTGCAGGAGTGG